TTGGCTTTTTAAAAAAAAAAGGGAAAAGAAAAACCGCAAGAATGAGAATAAAGAAGGTAAACAGAAGAATTAACCACACGAAAATCAAAAGATGTCAGATCAACAGAGAGAATAATATAGATTTTTAGAAAATGAAAAGAGAAAGAAGCGATCGGCAACAAATAAATGAAGAACTGAAAATACACAGAAGATACGCCAGAAGATGCTTCCCTTCCAGCAACAAGCAGCGGGGGAAAGCTCCGTTAAGACTCAAAGAGACACAGAGAGAGATCCAAGCAGCGGCTGGAATTCAGAGCGAAAAATGAAAAAACCAAAGCAGCAACAAAGAAAGAGAAGAAGAAGAAGAAGAGAGGACTGACCTACCACCGGCCGAGGAGGCAAAAACGCTGAAAGAGTCTGCAGCGCGAGGGGGAGAGTGTGCGCGTGGTCACCGGACTGGAGCTCCGTCTGCGCGCCGGCCGGTGGGGGGCGGTGATAAACAGCGGAGCGCAGAATGGAGCGAACCACTGCACGCTGGCAGGCGGGGGGATGCAGGGGAGGCCGTGTGTAGCAGAGTGGCCGGGAGCTCCGTGCGTAATTTGGCATCTGGCAGAAAAAGCGCACTGACAGTGGCAGGCAGGCACTTAAAGGGACATGCCATCCAACAATTAATGTACTAGACAAGCAGCTAGTAATCAGGGGAAGAGTAATACACTATAAAAACTGGCACTATTAATAGACTGTATTACACCTCTTTATTATCTCTTTAAGTGTGTTTTAAGGTGGAGGTGGACCTCGTGCACACTTAAAAACACACAAATCAACATCCCTTATATTAGTTTATCCGTATTATTTGAACCCTAGCCAAAACAAACAAACACACACACACACACACAGACACACACACACACACACACACACACACACACACACACACACACACACACACACACACACACACACACACACACACACACACACACACACACACAGACCAAACATTCCCAGCTCCATTCCGTTTGTCAGTGATTAAGACAAGAAACATTGTGACATCACAAACTGCCCAACATTTGATGGGGGGCAAGTATCTTCTGCCTGGGGCCCCCAGAGTATCTTGAAACGCCCCTGTACACCTGGAGTAATTTCACAAGCTACCCCAACCCAGTCTCACACAAAAACGTGTAATAACTACATTGGTCCACAACTTGGGGAATTGCCGCCAAAACTGAAAACGTGACGTGGATCATAAATATTTCAGCAATTAAACAACATCTTACATTTCTTTTCACACAATACGTCTCCTTGCAGTATCAACACTAATTTGGCTGACTTTTATATTTGATCCAATTGGTAGATAGGCTGTATTTACACCATAACGGTGCACAGCTGATATAAAGGGACACCTAAAGCATGTTATTGAATTTCATTATTTGTATTATTAGATATTAATAGGATCCCTATAAAGTATATTCATTACTCGTTATTCTCTACTAATAGTTAATTAAAGACTGTATATAATGACTATTTTGCACATCCCTTTCAAGATTTCAAGATTTTCTAAGGTTTATTGACATATCATATAGGCCTACACAACTATGGTGTAGTTATGCCATAGTCAAGTCACCAATTCACGAGTCCAAGTCACTCTCGAGTCACCACTCTTCGAGTCCGAGTCCAAGTCCGAGTCACCTAAGAAGAGTCCAAATCAAGTCCGAGTCACAGGTCTTCATGTATTAATCTTCGTGGATATATGTGTTGAAATGTAGCTGCTTCTCTACATTGCTTTTATCCTGTCATGTTATACTAATCTGTCTATTGAACTGCTGTGAAGCGAGTTTGGCTACAATTATTGTAATAGGTGCTATACAAATATAAAGCTTAATACTAATATTATTATTAATATATATAAATAAACTATATTTAAAATTAGTTACCTTTTAGAGAAGTGATTATATTTGTATGCCAATATTTTCCTATGGTAAAGTTTTCGTTTTGCACTTTTATTTTGATAGTGATAAGATCGGGACTTTTATTTTGAAGGAACTTTTACCGGTTAAATCGGTTTACTGATAAAGATTTAGCCCCAGAAAGCACATGGCTACTTGGCATGCAACATGACGTCATTCTGCATGTTAAGTAGCCATGTGCTTTCGCGTTATCGGCTGAATCTTTATTTATTGATTAGATCACGTTACTCTGATGATAGTGTTCAAGACAGCCTATATAGGCGCATTCACACTGCGGTACTTTTCCCACAAAGGTTCATGTGAACTTAGTTCATGTGAACTCTTTAGTTCGCATGAACTAAGTACAGATCGCGTTCACACTGGAAAAAGTCCCTGGGGGAGGATTAGGCAAATGAAGCCGCTGACGTCACTTGTTCTTCTTCTGCTTTGGGCTTACTGGCAGGCCGCAAACCACTTCACGGCGTATACTGCCGCCCAAAGTCCCCGGCCGGAAGTCCCCGGAGTTAGGGACTGGCTTCAGTAGAAGCCGCTGGGACTCCCAGCAGCTTCTACTGAAGCCTTCCGAGTAAATCGCCAGAACGCCGACACCTCCTCATCTCCACCGCTCCCATGTTTTATTTTGTGTTGCCATAAGTTAGTCTCTCTGCGTTTCTGCACTGGGGTAATGCTAATGCTAATAATGCTAATGCGGGTGTCACTACCATGGATGTATAATAAGAACTGGATACAGCGTGGGAGGCGGGGCCTCATTCATTCCTATGAGAGCTGCTCATTAGCGCATGATGATAAAATGGCCCAACTTTTGAGAGAGTGAAACGTCACAGATTACCCAGCATGCCTGAGAAGTACCCGTATGTGCACTCATAGAGCATGCGCAACTTTAACCAAAATGCTCGTTCACATCAAGCACGTCAATGTGCGTACACGTAACAGCACCGCGCGTTCATGACAGCATGGTAATGGATGTTGTTATCATGGATTTGATATGAACGAGGCGGCAGTTAGCAGCTAGCGGCTAGCTAGTAATGATGCTAATGTACATATCAATCGTTATGTACTTAGATTACGCTGTAACAGGATCTAGTGATATCCAACAGAGCTTCATTTAGCATGAAATAATGATTGCACTGTATATATATACATATTATTTATATATATTTATATACAGTGCAATAAGCTCCTTAGTGTAATACGAAGCTACAGGGACGTTAATAATGTCGGTAATATTAACTTTATTTAATACAACATTTACGGTACAAGATTTAATCATACAGCCCATGTAGTATGATAATGAATTACAGCAAACATGTGCAATATATCCATTATTACAGCTCCGTGGGATGGCAGTAACGGGCCCTCCACACTACAAGCGTTTCAGGCGTAAAATTACGCCTCTAGCGCGTCTGCCCATTCACTTTGAATGGGGTGACGTCACGTCCGCTCACGTTTTCGCCGAACTGCATCACGGGAAGGCAAGCGTAACTTTGAGAGCGTCTCGCGCGTAAAAAGTTGAACAATGTTGAACTTTTTACGCACGAAACGCTCTCTCGGTTCCTGACAAGTGAGCGTAAACCAATCCAATCCCGTTTCAGAAAATCTGACAGCTCAAGCCGTAGCCAATCAAAAACCGCGCATACGCTGGGAGAGATATCCTGAGATATCCCGCCGTTCATGTCTATATTTGAAATAAAATGGACGAGGTTATAATCGTAGCGGTAGCGAATCACCCTGTATTATTTGATGTGACCCTGTTCACCTACCGGGATAGAAACCAGAGGAACCAGGCATGGAAGGAGGTGGCAGAGACAGTGGGGGAAACTGGTAGGTTTTCGCCTGTTTGGGGATTTTATATCCAGTTTACTTCATGTTAACATAGCTAATGAAACATAGCCGGTATATTTAGCATAAAATAGCGCCATAGACATTAATCACATACATGTTAATCATCCGCTGCCACATCATAGACTATATTGCATTACATTAATGCACACAATGTCATACTCCTTTCACATTTCTTAGTTATATATATATGCAAAAATTCATTCCTAGCATTCTATTTCCATGTAAATTACTGCTTTATTTAATTTTTATCTTTTTGCAATTTAACTGTACAATACATGTTGTGTTTTATATTATATTTCTTGTTTTGTATATATGCACCATGACATCAAGTCAAATTCCTAGTATGTGCAAAGCTACCTGACAATAAACCTGTTTTTGATTCTGATAAAGTGTGACATGTAAAAAAAGGGATTTGGTTTTCATTAATGGAGCAATCATTTTCTGAAATTCAAGAAATTAACTGTATTCTTTCATTTTCATTTTATTAGACGAAGTGTGCAAAAAGCGTTGGAAGTCCCTCAGGGACCGATACCGCAGGGAGAGGATCCTGGAGAAGGAAGGGAAAAGTAGCGGGGCAGGGGCTTCCGGGGGATCTAAGCCCTGGCGTCTAGCGGCAGTAATGAGCTTTTTAAAGCCCTTCATGCTGGACCGTGAGACGTCCAGCAATTTCCCCCGGCAACCCCTGCCTCCACCCACCGGATCAGAAGAAGAGGAAGACTCTATGGGTGACAGCCTGGATGACAGTCTGGAAAGCCAGCCAGAGCCAGGTAGCAGTCAGCCGGCCAGTGTGCCAGCATTCCGGGGGAAGAAGAGCAGGGGAAGGGAGATGTCCCCTTTTGAGGAGAACCTGCTGTCGGCCGTAGGCCCGATGCTGGCCATGCCACCACCGTGGACCTCCTTTTTTTAAGGAGTCTCTGGCCTGCAATGCAAAAGCTGAGCAGGACGAGCAGCATGAGACTGAAAATGAAGCTACAAGAGGCCACAGAAATGGACATTAATAATTAATTAATTAATTAATTAGATACTGATACTGATCCACATTACATCTTTGTACACTCATCACTCATCACACACAACATCACATAAATAAAAGTTATTTAAAAAGTATGTTATGGCTATACTGTGTCTTCACTTGTTCATGTGGTTTGTCAGTTACAACATACCAGGAGCTTCTTGTATGTCGATATATAATGTGCTGTCTTCTGTAATTATTCAGGTGAAACCCTGATGAAAATTATGAGTGGTTTATCACTAAAAACAGGGCTGAAGGAAAAAGGTTGTTAGTTATATCATGATATCAATTCAAGAAACATGTTTATTAGGAATGGTTGATTTTAAAATGGCTCATTTGGAATATTTGCTTTTTAAAGAAAATGGGTAGCTCTTAAAAGAGCTTTTTGGTTTGGAAGGTTGTCCAGCAGCGGAAATGCCTCATCTCCAACGAAGACATGGGGGAGAGGGCCCCGCCGCTCTGATCCTGCGATGACGGTGTCAGGTGGTAGCTGCAGACTGCCGTCTCGGAGGCTCTCTCCAAATGCAGAATTCCGCAGGCTCCCACTGTCGCTGCTCCTCCCAAAGCCTCCAACATCCACTACCCTGAACAGGTACTCAGCATCCACCACAGCCAGCAGTACCAAGGAGTGGGTGGACTTATAATTAAAGTAGAGGGAACCTGCATTTGCTGGAGCCTGGATAACGACGTGCTTCCCATCAATGGCACCAACACAGTTGGGAAACTGCAGCGCTCCTGGAACCCAGCAGCGATGGCTCTCCAATCCTCCACCTGTGCTACCGGCATGCACTCCTCGACCAGGGCGGTCCAGATGGCCCCCGCAACCTCCTTGACAATGACTGCCACTGTAGAACGCCCGACCCGATAGCTGAAGGCTATCGTCGCGTACGAGTCACCAGTTGCCAGGTACCTGAGAAAAAAAGATATATACATGATTACAAAATATATTTATTCAGACCCCACACACACACAGACCACAGATCCCCCCCTCCACACATTGAACACAGACACACACATTGAACACAGACACAGATTGAACACACATTGAACACAGACACACACACATTGAACAGACACACACATTGAACACAGACACACACATTAAACACAGACACACACACATTGAACACAGACACACAGACACACACATTGAACACAGACAGACACACAGATCCCCACACACACATTGATCACAGACACAGACACACACGCCATGTACACAGGGGAGCAATACTGTGTTTACCTAGATATCTTAATTAATGTTACCCATCTGAACTAAATCACAGACTTCAGTCATCATTCGTGCATTCTATCTCCTTCTATACAGAGTCAGATTAAAGAAGTAGAAATACACAAAACGTACCGTAGGCAGATGGCGAGTCGCTCGGCGGGGCCGATTGACATACGCAGATGGGTGTCCACCTTTGTAATCAGTGGGCCCACCTTTCCGAGCAACTCGTCGAACACCTCCTTGCTCATCCTGAAGTACCTCTGAAAAAGGCGGTCATCGAGACGGAGCTCCTGGACGAGAAGGTGGTATTCCCCCCTTTGTAGACGCTTTCGGAGTATCGGGTGTACCCAGAAGCGACGCACACTACACGGCCTCATGCGAGACAATGTATACACTAAATGCAACCTTGCACACACACGAGTTACCCTGCTTACCCTTGCTACAACACCGGCATCCATTTTAGCAATAGTGGAGAAGAACCGGGGTTTTTCACTTTGTATGTCCGGGGCGGGAGATTCACATGGAGATTCTGATTGGTTGTTGGTCGCGGGGCTCGAAGAAACGCCCCAAGCGTAAATCTTGGGGCGTTGGAAGCGAATTTTACGCTTGTAGTGTGGCCGGCCCGTAAGACGATATGGATCCGTTCTTATTGTGCATCCATGGGTAAAGATAAACGCAACTCACATTGGTTTCTCATACAGCATCTCTGTAAACTACGTGTATTCACTGAATTTCACTCTCTGTCTTTAACGGCTCGTTGTAGCTCCAATATCTCCAGCCCCCACCCTCCCTGTGAGCACAGTGTGCTCTGATTGGTCGGGACACGTAACATGAACGTGCCGGGCGGCGCGGTCCCGTGGGTTAGATGCGCGTTCATAATGCAGAGGGAAATAACTCTCAGAATAACGTTATTAGCACATTTTTACAACTTGAGGAACGAATGTTTTTAATAAGGGCTATACAAGTGTTCATACTGGGTAGTTTATTTAGTTTAAAAAAAATTATCCAACGAGTTACAGACCAATCTTTCCCCATGTAAGTCAATGGGAAAAAGTGTTTCCGGGCCTGGCAACCAAACGGAAGTGTAGTACCGCCGTTTGGCCAGCACGAATATTTTCTTCTGAGTCCGGCGCACTTCCTGGGGGCTTGGTCACTACCCGATCTGCAGCTCTGCCCGATCTGCAGTGCGCATGTGCGAGATGGTCCGCCATATTGGACAACTCCGGACGGCAACCCAAGTATAGGACAACATTGACACAGTGGCTTTTGGCAAAGCTCAAAAATAAAACGAGAGATAGATGAGTTATTGTTATTACAACGTGACTTCACTATTATTTAACAACTCTTTTTATTGGGTTCTTTTATTTGGGGTTATGTACATTGTCAGAATAAGTGAGAAATGGATTTAACTTCTGTTAGACAGCTATCATACTGAATACATATTTACTGTGAATGTATGCAAAAATGTATGGCATATAGCTAGCTGTCTAACAGAAGTTAAATCTATTTCTCACTTATTCTGACAATGTACTTAACCCCAAATAAAAGAACCCAATAAAAACAGTTGTTAAATAATAGTGAAGCCACGTTGTAATAACAATAACTCATCTCTCTCGAGTTTTCCTTTTGAGCTTTGCCCAAAGCCACTGTGTCAATGTTGTCCTACTTGGGTTGCCGTCCGGAGTTGTCCAATATGGCGGACCATCTTGCACATGCGCACTGCAGATCGGGCAGAGCTGCAGATCGGGTAGTGACAGCGGGGATAATAAAATGGCGGCTTCACAAAACCTTTTGGGAGTTTTACGGGGCGTGGTTTGCAATCCTTCCAGCCAATCAGAAATATAGCTCTTTTCTCACAAAAGAGCCGCTCGAAAGTCCCTGCTCTCTAGCAGGGACTTTCGAGGGGGTAAAAAGGTTCACATGAACTAATTTTAGTACCGGCTCTTTTGGTGTGAACGCGATAAAAGAGTTCACATGAACTAAGTTCACATGAACCTTTGTGGGAAAAGTACCGCAGTGTGAATGCGCCTTATGTCTGAACTCGATCCTTAGAGTAATGTGTTACGGAGCCTTCTCTTCAATATTGTTTCCACATAACAAGCATTTTGCGCCGCTCTTTTCCAATGTGGAAGCAGAATGTGTGAAAGCATTCAGCACGATGCGGGGTGTGTCTCTAGACATCTTTAGACTCGAATAGCGGGGCCCAGTACGTGAACTCGCCTCGCAGGTGCACACGCCAGGATAGAGGACATCAGACTCCAGAGAAAATTTGCTCGAGTCCAAGTCGGAGCGTCAATGTACAAGTCGAGTCCGAGTCATCGTTGGGGGAAAAAATCACGAGTCCGAGTCCAAGTCCAAGTCATCGTGCGCGAGAATTCACGAGTCCAAGTCCGAGTCGCGTCAATCAGTGCTCGAGTCCGACTCGAGTCCGAGTCCAGGACTCGAGTAATCCATCTCTGAGTTATGCAATGAATGAAAAACTTGGGTCGCAGGTTCCTCAACAGTGCATTACAAGACATCTATCAATATGTGTGTATACCTCCAGCAATGTTAACTATGTCGAAGCACTTATTTTAACTGATATTATATGTATTATACTCTTATAAGATGTATGTAGATAGTATAAGAAATGTGCAGAATATGACAGTTTAATGGTGGAGGTATACACACATATTGATAGATGTATTTTAATGCACTGTTGAGGAACCTGCGACCCAAGTTTTTCATATCCGACCTTGTCAGGTATTGAACAATCGATAAATAAAGAACACAGAATTATTAAATATAAAACACAGAATTTGTGTGATTATACTAAATGATTTACAAATAAACACCACTGCATATTTACAACTGTTACACATGCTGATGTAACGCAAATGTTTCCAACTTGGGATCAATAAAGTATATCTTATCTTAAGATGATCGATGGCTACTGCCTTATTTGCCTCTGAACCTTGACAAGTGCATGTTTCAGGCTTATCAATTAACAACAGGAGGGGTCACAGACATATGACCAGCTGTTAAATAAAGCTCTGCTGACCTTAGCTGGCATGTGGGTATATATTAATGCTGCCCATTATGGGCACAAGCAATTTTCACCCATTTATTAATTATATGTTTTAGATGTGGGTGTTCCTATCCCCTAAACCTCCAGGCAGGGCCACCTTAATGCACGGGCTGACCTGGGCTGAAGCCCAGGGGCCTACGGAAATTGGGGGCCTATCATGAACCAATAAAAAATAAAAAAATTAATTCAAATTTTGTTTTTTTTATTTCGGATGTTTTAAAAAAAATGTATATAAACAAAGTCTTGCCTTTCAGAATATGAAACTTTTATTTCCAAAATCACATGATAAATACATTTTTGAAGCTTGTAAAGGGAAGAAGACAGCTGCTGTTCCCCTCCCTCCGCTGAAATTATGAATGTAAGGCGTATAGTACTAATAGATAACATGGCAGGGTCCGTTACAGTTTGTTTTTATCTGATTTCAAATAAACAAAGTCTTGGCTTTCAGAATATTAAACTTGTTTCGGCAAATTCAGATGATAAATACAACTTTGAAGCTTGTGACGGCATAATTACAAGCGGAGAACGGAGTAACTTGACGTCACAGCAGGCATAACAGCAGCCGGTGTTTCTCGTGAGTGTTTTCCCCGGGAAACAAACACAATACACACAAACGCAAAAATACACAAACACACACACGTATACACACACACACACACTCGCAAGCTTCCCCCAGACCAGTAATCCAAACGGAAATATCTTCCCTCCATACTATTTTGATCATTTGCTCCGCTAATCAATCAGATTGATGGATTCCAGAGATTGTTCTCAAAAATGTTGACTCCGTAACAGTCAGTGGGCACCACTTAATCAGAATGAGAATATGTTTCACATGTGACTTATTCAAATTGCGACTGATTGAGTGACAGAAGAAGGTTGTTAAGGAGAAAATGTCGGAGAAGAAGAGTCCTGTCCACGGAAGAGGATCAGGAGTTGGCAGGACCCCCGGCAAGACAGGTGATGGCGGGGCCTCCAACGGAACAGGACAAGGGGTTGGCAGGATTCCCGGCAGAAGAGTAGTCGGCGGGACCCCCAGAGGAACAGGACATAGGGTTGGCAGGACCCCCGGCAGGAGAGTAGTCAGCGGGACCTCCAACGGGACTGGACATGGAGCTGGCAGGAACCCCAGCGGAACCTCCAACGGCACAGGACATAGGGTTGGCAGGACCCCTGGCAGAAGAGTAGTCGGCGGGACCCCCAACGGGACAGGACATGGGATTGGCAGGACCCCCGGCAGGAGAGTAGTCGGCGGGACCCCCAACGGGACAGGACATAAGATTGGCAGGACCCCCGGCAGGAGAGTAGTCGGCGGGACCCCCAACGGGACAGGACATAGGATTGGCAGGACCCCCGGCAGGACAGTAGTCGGCGGGACCTCCAACGGGACTGGACATGGCGCTGGCAGGATCTCCAACGGAACAGGACATAGGATTGGCAGGACCCCCGGCAGGAGAGTAGTCAGCGGGACCTCCAACGGGACTGGACATGGAGCTGGCAGGAACCCCAGCGGAACCTCCAACGGCACAGGACATAGAGTTGGCAGGACCCCCGGCAGAAGAGTAGTCGGCGGGACCCCCAACGGGACAGGACATAGGGTTGGCAGGACCCCCGGCAGGAGAGTAGTCGGTGGGACCTCCAATGGCACAGGACATAGGGTTGGCAGGACCCCCGGCAGAAGAGTAGTCGGCGGGACCTCCAACGGGACAGGACATGGGATTGGCAGGACCCCCGGCAGGAGAGTAGTCGGCGGGACCCCCAACGGGACAGGACATAGGGTTGACAGGATCTCCAACGGAACAGGACATAGGATTGGCAGGACCCCTGGCAGGAGAGTAGTCGGCGGGACCCCCAACGGGACAGGACATAGGGTTGGCAGGACCCCCGGCAGGAGAGTAGTCGGCGGGACCCCCAACGGGACAGGACACAGGATTGGCAGGACCCCTGGCAGCACCCCCAGCGGAACCTCCAACAGCACTTCAGTAGGGACTTGAGTAGGGACTGGAGAGGGAACTCGAGAGGGGACTCGAGAGAAGACTTGAGAGGGAACTCGAGAGGTGACTTGAGAGGGAACTCGAGAGGAGACTTGAGAGGGGACTTGAGAGGGAACTTGAGTAGGGACTGGAGAGGGAACTCGAGAGGGGATTCGAGAGAGGACTTGAGAGGGAACTCGAGAGGTGACTTGAGAGGGAACTCGAGAGGAGACTTGAGAGGGGACTTGAGAGGGAACTCGAGAGGGGACTTGAGAAAAAAACTGGAGAGGGGACTCGAGAAGGGACTAGAGGAGGGACTGGATAAGGGACTAGAGGAGGGACTGGAGAAGGGACTAGGGAAGGGACTTGAGAAAGGACTTGAGAAAGGAATTGAGTAGGGACTAGAGAATGGACTAGAGGTGGGACTGGAGAAGGGACTAGAGAAGTGACCTGAGGAGGGACTAGGGAAGGGACTAGAGGAGGGACTTGGGGAGGGACTAGAGGAGGGACTAGAGAGGGGACTCGAGAAGAGACTAGAGAGGGGACCAGAGAAGGGA